TGTGTGTGTGTGTGTGTGTGTGTGTGTGTGTGTGTGTGTGTGTGTGTGTGTGTGTGTGTGTGTGTGTGTGTGTGTGTGTGTGTGTGTGTTTTAAACCATCACTGCAACAGGCCCTAATTCAAACAGCATTTACCTCATTGTCGTATTCTAAGAGGTGCAGGGTCTACCATATCTGTGTTTTGGTGTATGGTGTGTGTTCTCAAGTGCAAAACACACAACTCTGCAGAAAGAAGCATGACCATGCCAGACCATTTCTTTGGACTTTCACGGACTCCTCGGGAGTTCGATCTTCGATCGCCTGCCCAGGATGCAAAAGACTAATGGACAGGGGCTCCCAGTCCCCCAGAGTTAAGCCACCAGTACTTGGCGCAGCTATCGGCCGTGGGAAAAAAATAGAGTACAAAGTACAAGAAACATTTCTAGTTGGACGAATTTGGGTACTCCTGTAGTGGCCCATAACGTTTCCCAATATTGTGGCTTGGTGATGGGCACGGCTGTAGAAAGTACTGGTGGTTTAACAACGCCTCTGAGAAAAGCGATAGACTTTACTGAGTTTACTCACATCAGCTCTGCATTCCTGGCAGACTCTTCAGTTGAAAGCCCTCACAAAAAAGGGCAGTAAGCCTGTGTGTGGTGGAAACCATCACCCCAAAGCCCCCCTTTTGGCCCTTTTCCACCCACCAGATTAGCAGATCCAAAATTGAAACAGCTTTACCCCTATAGCAACAACATGACGCACAGTAAGATGACCCGATCCAGAACTGCAACGGCTTTTCCTACAGCAAACGAAATGAAACACATACAAACTGCTCTGCTCGGTGCTCTTCAGCCGGGGGCGCTCAACCCCAGTTAACTGGGGTTAGGACGGGGGTAGTCCGGGGTTAGGATGCCGCTCTAAGGTTAGCGCGGGGAACCCCGTTCTAACCCCCCCCGCCCCCCCCGCCCCCCAACCCCGACACTCGGACCTTTTCTTATACGGTTCAGGGTTTTCATTCCTTTGACTGTCTGTGCGATACCCCTTTTTATCTCTCCTTGCAACTCCCCTTTCACTGTGGCTCTCATGTACAAGGCTTGCCATGTTGATTGCGTTGTGATGAAGATGTGTACGTTGATTGTGTTGTGATGAAGTCGTGTATTTACTATCTTTGGCACATCCCATGCTCCATATCATATCACTATCCAGGGGATCACAGGATGATACCACCACAGGCTGAGTATGAAACTGACGAACGGAGGATTTATTTCCTACTTCGAATTCTGATGCAAAGTGTGTGGAAGAGTAGAGCAGATGTCATCAAACAGAGCTGCCAGGTAAACCTTAGATAGAGAGGTAGAAGCAGACAACAAACGAGGGGCTGTGAGAAACTGTTTCATCGGAGTTTCACGGATAGGCTGCTGATCCTCGGACAAGTGACGATACTGCAGATGTCGTCGATGATACAATGCTCAGCTCGGTCTTCCATGTGCTCACCCACTTCATCCTTACAGTAAGTGTCCTCTCTGTCGTCAAGGACAGGCTCACTCTGGAGCTTTTCTCATCCTCTCCTTGCCTTCATCTTCATTCCACACTCTGTACTTTCCCTTACTTCCCCTCTTGGTTCTTTGTTTGTCTTCTCTTCATCTCTATTCCCTGTGCTTATCACCTTCCCCTTTCTCACAGTGTACAAGTGGGTCGTTATTGCATACGGAGATGCGGCAAGCTCGCGCTCAACTTCATCAACGTGGCGAGAGACATACTGAAGGGGGAGTTAAAAAAAGAATGATAAAAATAAATGGTTTTAGTGCCCCTCATTTATATATATATCCTTGCCTTTTGTTTCACAAAGTGCACTCTATTAGTTCATATATATCGTCACAAATAGAACTGCCCGGTAATATATATATATATATCGTCAAGTAGAGCTGCCTGGTAGGTAACCGGCGTTCGGGACAGGCCCAACGCCCGAACCCGAACGCCCGAACGCATGGGACCCCTTGGGGATGCGTTCGGCCGTTCGGGCCGAACGCGGACCCAAAAAANAAAAAAAAAAAAAAAAAAAAAAAAAAAGTCATCAAAAAAATATGAAAAAACGATATGTTATGTAGAAAAATAAATTAAACAAGATTTGCCTGGGCATTACATCCGAATCCCTTACCAAATTTGAATAAAAATAAAATACGGAAAACAAATACTAATAATAAAAATAAATAAAAATAAAAAGAGAATTAAATTTAGTGAGTGCGCGAGCATGTTTTCAACACCACCACCTTTGGCGATTTTCATTTTTGTTTGGCATAGCCAAATGCCCTGAAAATTTACAGAGGTGTACTTCACATAATACAAAACCCACTAAAAAAGTTTCAAAAAATAATACAACTGTTTAGACCCCGAACTAAAGTGAAAACAGAAAGTAAAAAGTGAAAAAATACGTGGGCGAGCACGTTTTGACACCGCCATCTTTGGCGATTTTTAATGTTTATTGGGCTCAGCCAAATGACTTGAAAATGTACAGGCATGTACGTAGCGTCATAGAGAACTCGCACAAAAAAATTCAGAAAAAAAAAACTATTTTTAGGCCCCGAAATATTTTTTGGCGGGGGCCGAACGCCGTCGGGTTCGGGACCCCGTACGGGACCCAGAACGCCCGTACGTACGGAGGTCTGCCCGGGGACCTCCGTACGTACGGGCTGGCGACCCTGTATATAACAAAAATAAAAAATTAAAAAACAGGACTAACATGCAGGGCACACTGAAACCATTCATTTTTCTCATTCTTCTTTAAACTCCCCCTTCACCGTGCCTCTCACGTATGAGGCTCGCCACGTTGATGAAGTTGAGTGCGAGCTGCCCCTATCCCCGTGTACCATAACGGCCCACTTGTACGCTGTGAGAAAGAGAAGGGGAGGGGATAAACACAGGGAGGAGAGATGGAGAGCAGACAAACAAAGAACGATAAAGGGACAAGTAAGGGAAAGTACGGAGTGTGGAGTGAAGATGAAGGCAGAAGAGGATAAGAAAAGGCTTAAGAACGAGTCTGTCCTTGACAGAGTGGACATACATTGTAAGGATGAGGTGGATGAACACATGGAAGACCTGGCTGAGCATTCTCAGTGCAACAATTGCCATGACGGCTGGCATTGAGCATGCCCACCACACACCCCCGTCAAATGCCATGTCGATTGCAGGCCAAAATGAAGGAAGAACGGTCACCTCAACAACCATGCATTCAGTATAGCGCCCATGGCGGCAAAATGGATATATATATATATATACACACACACAAAGAGAGAGAGAGAGAGAGAGAGAGAGAGAGAGAGAGAGAGAGAGAGAGAGAGAGAGAGAGAGAGAGAGAGAGAGAGAGGGTGGTCACAAAGTGTTGGGAAGGGCTGCTCAAGTTCAAGGTGATGGCGGAAGAGGTAGGCAAATGGATCAGGAATGAGAATCTGCAAAGGCATACAGAGGAAGCATAGAACAACCCGACGGGAGCATGTCAAACGGTACTGGTAGAGGGACGGTTCGGATGGCGAGGAGGGATGTAGAAGGGGTTGCTTGGGTGGGAAGAAAATGAACATGGCACATTAGTTCATCTGCTATAAGACTATCGAGCACAGACAAAGAAGATCAGGAGAGTTGGCTAACAAGGGGAGGATGCATACAAGTACGCACGAGAGATCACCGATGATCATTGGTGATGCAGTATGACCAAAAAATCCATCCTTCGCACCAGATGGGAGTCTTATTTTGTTCGTGGAACAGTAATAAGCCTGTTCCTGAGTGAAACTATGTCCGCCCTTTCGTAATCGCAGAGCCCCCGCTGTCATCCACGACACTCCAGGATCACGACAATAGCCGATGAATGAATCCACCTTCAGTCCTCCACCTCACAGCGCACCTGCTTTCCACATTTTCAACCTATATTCACAGACACTGCTAATTCACGTCACACACACGGCTAAGTCACGTCGTCACACCAACCACAAATCGCAAGGCATCGTCTCAGCACTTGAAGTTGTCTCCACGATAAAAATGATGCAAAGAGATCAATGACGACTACGCGCACCGGGTGTGCACCGACTGCTCAATGCCACTTCATCTGAGATTCCTCAACAAAACAAAAAAGCTTGAAGAATCTACGAAGATGACCACAAATATACCAGAAGTAATGATATCAGCTCTACCGCAAACTGATTGCCACTCAAGGCTCAAGAAGCATTTGGATGGGATGACGAGTAGAGCACTATGCAAGTGAGAAGCTAGAACCTTGCAACGCGGTCCCCGAGCATAGCTGCAAGTAAAATGACGCGGGGGCGTGAAGAAGTAGTTCGGAGCTGCGCAACAGCTATAAGAGACATCGACCTTAGTGTCGAACTTTACGGTCTTAGACTTCCTTCACACGGGGGCGTGAAGACGTAGTTCGGAGCTGCGCAACAGCTATAAGAGACATCGACCTTAGCGTGCAGAAAGAAAGACGTGCCGATACTTTTTACCAAACGAAACGAAACGATCTCACCAAATTCTGGAAATTTTAGAAGGTTTTATTAACAGATGCATGCGGAACGCTCTTATAAGCTTTTCTCCCTCCCCCTCTGGACCGAATAACATCGAATGCGGACTGAATTAGTTGTCCTCACAGACAGAAAGAAGACGGGAGCCGCAAGCCGCCCATGCAGCTTTTCGCTGCGTACTCCATGGTATAAGAGCTACACTACATATCACATCGAGTATTGTCAAATCAGATTAGGTGACATGCGAGGAAGGACCAGGAACAGCAGGGTTGGTAGACGAGATGCGGACCATCCGCCCTTCACAAGGACCCAGATGTGTACGGAAAACAGGAGTCAAAAACTCGGAAAACAACAACAGCGGTCACGGCCCCTACGACTGCTCATCTCCGTAAAAAGCTTCAAGACAGGCATGAAAATGCAGCAGCAGAGAAATGTGGTTGGACATCGGCACCTGTTGCAAAAAAAAAAAGCGCATTGTTCTTTTTCTTACCGTTCTTCAGACTCGTAGCACAGGAGTCCTCAAAAAGAAGGGCACAATGTCGGCCAAAGTCTACGCTGGGCATAACAGGCACCTTGAGTCCTGCTGGCACACCAGATAGGGAAACAAGGACATGCCAGAACAGGAAAGAGTGATAATCGACAGGATTTAGCAGAATGAGTATCAAGAAAAGGCACGCCAGGTTTTCAGCGACAAACGATTTCTGGTTGCCTTGTCATGGTGGGAAGAGTTGAAGTGGTGAAGGGACAAAGATTGACATAAACCAACCACACAGCGAACCCAGGTCAGCAAGCAGACTGCAGGGAAGGATGACATGCATGCACTGGACGAGGACCGACAGATTGCAAGTGACGGGAGGGTAGTCAGCTTAGAGAGACCAACAACAAAAAGAGAAAAGGAAAAAAGATCGATGGATCAAAGAAAGCAGAAGAGCGGTGCACAAGGGGAGGGGAGTAGGGATTGGCAACAACAGCAAGTTGCTTGCATCAACAATCCCCGAACCAACATTGCAAGAAAACTAGCAAAGTTTCCTAGAACCAAACACCTCTCTCCGACCGGATGGCTTCTGTGTCTCTTCCTTCCACACACACGGGCTTGCCACCACACCCTCCCTCCTGTTTGCCCATTTACGATCCTCCATCAAGCACTGAAGACGGACTCTATGCCGTGCCAGGAAGACCTGTTCATCCTCAAGGTAACCATTCGTACCTTTCCCAAAGTCATAATTACTTCGACCCAGAGTCCGAAGGCTATCGCGGTCAAGTGTGTGCCTTCCGGGGGCTGCACGGTGACTTAGATCCTCAAAGACATCCTCATTGTGCAGTCGCCGGACTTCATCAGCCGAATCAAACGATCCACTCGATGTGCTCAGACTGCCACTAACCATGCTATCCCTGTCAGCGGGTGCATCCACCTCGACCTCGACTGCTCCTCCGCCCATCGACTCCTTAGCAAATGGTAATTCAGCACCATCAGCACAGCTGGAGTCTTTCTTTGCCCTCTCTGAGCACACGCTACTCGACAATGACGATGAAGACAAGGATTTGTACACAATTGATCCAGATGCACTTACAGAGCTGTCCCCCACAGAAACTTCACTCTCTCCATGTGAACCCATGGAGCTCATAGACTGCTGTCCTGGCGTTTCTTCACCTGACGACCACGGAACATTCCCATCCTTCTCGCATTTCCAACCAACCGGCAAAAAACATTCTGGTCCTGATAGTGACGCCTCAAGAGATGAACTCGATTGGCGGCCAAGAATCTGAGAAATGCACAAATTGCCACTCAACATCAATTAGACACATCATCATCATCATCATCATCATTGGTATGTGACTGGTTGAAACTGCAATTAAGCAGCTTCATCATGTTCTCATACAGACGCAACGATGACAGAACTGACATGGAGAGAGCTTCACACCAAACTGAAGAGATATAACAGCGAAAGGACCATAACAATCAGAACTGAATAAATAAACCGCATATATAAAACCACTGATGGCCAAGAACAACAACTGAGTATATAAACCACCTTTGAACAAACTTGGAACACAAGTTCAGCAAGCCTACAGAGCCTCCTTCACCATCACAGCATCGACCAAGTCATCTTCAGCCTGCATGGCTGTGGCGCGCCCGGCGAAAACTCCATGCGCTCAGCTCTGCAGACCTCCAGCCCTTCAGCGCCACCTCAGCAACCACTCAGAAGCCGTAGCACCAACCTTGGGAGGAGGAGGAAGAAGAAGAGAAAGAGGAAGAGGAGGAAGAAGAAGAGGAGGAGGAAGAGACAGAGGAAGAGGAGGAAGAGGAAGAGGAGGAAGAGGAGGAGGAAAAGGGGGAGGAGGAGGAAGAGGGGGGGGGAGAAGGAGGAGGAGGCCCTCTATGACTTGGGATGTACGCAGCAAGCGCGTTTGGGCTGTACTCAGCAAGCGCATTTTGGCCGTACTCAGCAAGCGCGTTCGGGCTGTACTCAGCAAGCGCACTACAGCCCTGAACTCGGATTTGAAGAAAAATCAGCGGATGTCCTCTACTGATTGTTCCAAAGACCGCCGACCGGTCGACCCTGCTGGTAGGCTGCAAAAGACGCAGCGGTCAGCATTGGCAGTCAGCAGGTATGTGTGGGGGAGAATAAAAGAAAAGAAAAAAGAAACTCAGGAAAAAATAAAAGAACTGTAATCTACTAATCAGACTAATCTGACATTTTGTGAACTGCGAAACGAGCCGAGCTCTTCTGCACACACATGTACAAAATGACAAGGTGGGTGGAGGTACATATAACGGAGGGACGGAAAAGGGGCCGTTTAGGGAATCCCTCTGTACTTCACGTTAATGAAGAACGCACACAGCTTTCTTGCACCCCACGATGTGATCTCCATCGTGATGTCAGGTCATCCTAATGCATTCTAAGCAAGGAATTTGTACAAATAGACAAAAGAACAGAGGCATATGCGCAAACCAGTGCCATAGAGCATCTGCGATGTTATGTCTCCGGGCAAGCCAATAAAAAGCACAGACCATCGGAAACGGCATGACACCGAGCACAAAGGGTAGCCGTCCCCATTAGCAAAGAAGGCTGAACAGATTGAGGAGTGACCAGAAAGGTTGAGCGAACCGTGAAGGGGAAGAGCATTGAAGTTGTGGGTGCTGCCGCTGTTCTTAACAGTTACTTGAATGAGACAGAACTTCCTAGTAAAAAAATAAATAAATACGCGCGGTTAACTGAATCAGGGCTGTGCCCGCAACCGCCCGGTTGGACCCCCGGTGGTCCAACCGGAATTCCGGTTGGGCCCAAAAATGGGTTTTTTTTTTTTTTTTTTT